AAAAAAAAAAAAAAAAAAAAAAAAAAAAAAAAAAAAAAAAAAAAAAAAAAAAAAAAAAAAAAAGGAAAAATATATATATATTAAAATAAAAAAAAACTAATATCATGAAAAATAAAATCATATTTTGAAAAAAAAAAAAAAATTAAAAAAAAACTCTTTTACATGGAATTTTGGTTTATACGTGATTAAAAAAATAAAACGTAAAAAGATTATTTTGTGAAACAAGTAATGTCGAAACGAAATTGCTTGTTAACTTTTTTTTTAGCCCTTTTTTTTTTTTTTTTTTTGGATTTTTTTTTGTTTTGAAATTGACCAATCTTTCTCTATATTTGTTTTTTTTTTTTTTTTTTTTTTTGACGAATTACATACAAACAAACTCATATACAAAGAGGTTAGTAAATGAAATGTGAAAAGAAAAAAAAAATAAAAAAATAAAACCGCAAAGGATTTGTTGATTACGTTATATTTATATTTTTGATTAATGAAATTATGGGACTACCATCGTCTTCGTTTTTGTGCAAAAATAAATCAGTCAAAATAGACGTTGATTGATTTTATTTGCTTAAATTTCGCGTTTGATTCTTTTTTATTGTTGTGATATTCGCGGTTATGGTTAGGGAAAATTTGCTTAACGCTAAATGTAAAGATGTTTCAATTATTATCCCGTTTGAAAGAAACTTATGTGAACCACCCCAGCCAAATATTTAAGAACTCACATTACTCGAATGAATCTTTTGGTGGCGACGAAGGTTACTAACAACAGAAAAATGACGACCACATCCTTCGATTGGACATTTAAAGGCTAAATTAAGGAAAAAAAAAATTAAAGATGAATAATTATTTTCGGGATAGTGATACATTTCACATTGTTCAATTTTCTTTTTTTTTTGGGACGTGTTTGAAAATCAAGGATGATGATCAAAACGATCAAAACGAAAAGGGAATGGATGTTACGTCTGAAAACGCAACGTGATCAATAAAAAAACGGTGCATCAAATACGAACGTTTCTCTCCGGTGTGACTGTACATGTGTGTCTGCAACGAACTTGGTCTAGTGAATCTTTTCTGACAGATGTTGCACTTGTACCTCTTGGGAGTGGACGATACGGTTTTCGAACTAAAGGTGGTCATCATCGCCTGAGGTGTGGGGACAGATGAAGGTCTCTGTTGTCCTGCAGATGACTTTGGAGAACCGTTTCCATTTGAGGCCGGTGGTAAACCCATGCTTCCATTGGAGTATCTTGCAGCAGCCATCGTCATTGGATAATCTTGTGGCGTTGGTGGCATTCCTGGTGGAAAGCCGGACCCGTGATGTGGCATACCATTTCGATCATAACCTACAGGAGCTTGTCCGTAATAATTCATCGGAGAAGCAGTATTTGGACCGTTAGGTTTTATCATACTAGGTTCACTAAAGAAAGTGGGATCTATAGCCCTTTCATCAAAACCTTTTGGTTGTTTTCCGGAATGATAAGAACCGAAAGGGAATGGGGATGTCCCACTCCAATTTTCGGAATTTGCATCACCTGTAGTAGCTTCTATAAAGTGATATATTTTTTTTATTTTTTTAAAAAAAAAAAGGATTAATTAGCGAAAAATTTAAGGAAATTTTACGATGCAAGGATAAAATTTACATGACGCTTACCATTTCCTGGGGTTAGGTATGCCGTGGTGGTTGGTGCTGTAGATGCGGGATACGAAGCTGAAGCATATCTAACCGAACAATTAGAGAAAAAAGTTAATTGTTGTAAAGAATGCAATGATCATGAAAAAAAAAATTTGATCTCCCGTCGTAGCGCCTTTATTTTTTTTTTTTTTTTGCGACTTATAAATATTAAACATACGTTGTAGGAGTGGTAGGATACGTTTCGTGACTTCCGTGTCCTCCATGTCCTCCACTAATGGTCACCGGTTTGGTATCATGCAAGTCAGAGAAAGATGGGGGAGAAGAAGTTGTAGCTTGACTAGTACTCTCTGTCATCATTCCGTTGTTCAAGTTGATATGTTCAGCCGAATCGTAAGAGTCTACGCAAGGAGAAGGATAATCAGTAGCGGGAATATAAATTTCTGGTTGATGAATTTGTTCTTGTGGTGATTGAAAGACTTTATGATATGGCGAACTATTATTGAAGACTTGTCGTTGAGCGTAAGCTAATGAAACGGCTTTTCTAGGAGAGGAAGGTGAAGGTGGAGAATCAAAAGAATTAGAACTACTTGTTTGAGTCAAAGTTATTGGTATAACTTGTTGATATGGTTGATTTAATTGATGTTGAAGTGAGAAATGATTGTACGAGGAATCAAGAGACGGAAAATTATTAAAGGAATTCATAATAAAGCGAGTAATAAAAATAAATGAATATAACGAATACAACAAATTTTTTTTTTTTGACGATTTATAAAAATAAATATTTGAAGAAAAAAAAAAAAAAAAAAAAACCCCCAGGTTGAAATGATAAAACTGTCAAAGGGTAAGGTAAGGAAGGTATTTATAATAAAATAAAGGTAAGATAAACAACCGTAGATAATAACCAAAAAGATTCAAATCAATTCATTTAAGGAAGAAAATTGTTAGTTATCCCAGGAGCACATGTATAATTTTTTTTTTAAAAAATAAATTCATTTACCTTTATGCTTTATATCTTATGGTTTTTATTCCAAACCGGCGACATTAACAATTTGTAAAACTCGGATTCAAAAAGAGAACAACACAAACCTATAAAAAAATACGATAACTAAAGTGAAGTATTTATAACTAACAGTCGGGAAAAGGGAAAAAAATGAATTGTTGTTGATTCGGATAATGATGGAGCAAATTTATTGTGGTGTTGTTATTTGATGACGAATGTTGTTGTTGTTGTTCAGTTGTATGCGTAGCAAGTAGTACTTTAATAGTTTGTACGTGAGCCTATTTGAGTTTATACTAAATATGTAATAATTTTAATAATATAATTATTAAATAAAGTAATGGTCGACGATAACGTAAAAAAAAAAAAAAAAAAAAAAAAAAAAAAAAATTTTTTTTTCTGCTAACTGTTAGAAAATATTACGCTTACAGTACGGCAACATAAATATCACCTGACGGATATACACAAAATATAATTTAATATATATATATATATATAAAAAAAAAAAAAGATATTTGTTTACTTGGGATTGTCAAAGAAAATGATTTTTTTAAAAAATTTGGGCGACACAAACTATTAAGAGAGTGCTGCAAAGAGCGCGGGAGGAGAGGATGTGGGATAATAGTCCTTTTTATTTAAAAAAAAATTTTTTTTTTGTTTTCTTTGCAGACACAAATAAATGAACTGACAAATAAGCGCAAACAGGTTTTTTATTTACTAAACCTGGAAGAGTTATAATTGTGTACTGGTTTGGCGATAGGACCAACGCAGAGTCATCATCAAACCGACTGGAAAGCAAAACAAAAAAGTGAAGAATTGAATAATAAAGACAAGATCATAACAAAGACATAACCCAGATTCCCACTTCTGGATTAATGCTCTACATGAGAATATCTTTAAAGATGATTTTTTGTTGTCTTTTTTTTTTTAAAAAAATGTAAATAATTGAAACTTTTTTTTTTTTTCTGTGGGGTAACGAAAAGAAGCAAGGTTACACGACCATATATGCATAAAACGGGTTGGTATTTTTTTTTTTTTCTTTTTTTTTTTTTTTTGTTGGTACCTGCATCAACAGGAATAAAAGGTAATCCGTTCAAAAAAGTTTGACTGATTTCTTTTTCTGGGTTCAATGACCAAATGATGCTTTACATAACATCATTTATTTTGTATCGTACATTATTTAAAAGGAATTGCATAATAATTTATGTGATTTATATTATACTGATTATTGATAAATCTAAGATAATATTCTATACAGGAACAAATAAATGATTTCACTCCCGATATGCATCTACAGAAAAATGAGATTCTATTGAACTTATCGGAGAAATATTTCAAAAAAAGGTATGATACCTATGAAATTTACCGAAAAGGTAACCGTAGCGTCGCACAACGAGAAGAGAGATCAAAAGAACCTTTTCAACAAAAAGCGTTCAATTGGAAAATAACATGTTGAAGTTCTTAAACAAGGTTGTATTCTCATGTCACGTGCTTTAATCCTCACAGGAAATCAAGATCTCTCGTCCTCATCCGACTTATGTCCGTAGAATGATGACAGACGATTTCTTTATTTGGTGCGCGCGTACTTTTAATATCATCGTGATTTGTAATTATTTAAGACGATATAAGGTTTGTCATGTAACATTGCATCTGTTATAAAGAACCTGATTGTGGAATGTTGTATAATGTGTAAAGCTTCATGCGTGAATGCGTGAACGTGTGGAAAAGCTAAAGACCTTAATTTGCTAAAGTTTTGATTTTTCAGTAAAGCTTTTTTTTTTTTGTGACCGAAATCATAAGATTGGTTCCATCCGAAAATTTACTTTATAGTACATATATATATTTAATAATATTAAATAATAGGTGATTAAATTTAGTAAATTCCAAACCATGCGCCACATTCCCGTATTACACAAATGAAACCCTGTCAAACATCTCACCAATTTCAAAAACCTGCTTTTTATCTTCATAATAATTCCCTTTTACGTTTCAATGTTTACTGATTGTTTGAAAAAAAATCTTGATTCTAATTTTACGGTTACCAGGAAAGAAAAAAAAAAAATTGCCATGATTTAAAAAAAAGTGGAATGGAAAGCTTATCGACGAACCTTTATTATTATTTTTTCTTTTCGATTTTGATTTCGATTTTGACAACTTTTGACGAAATGGTTTCAACGATCTTACACAAGGCATTCATTCTGTACGATAATATTTATGCGCGAAACATTTAATCCTGCATAAATTCACGATCTAATATAATATAATCAATTTTTTTTTTTATCCCATGGTAAATATTTGGTAAAAACAAAAAAAAAATTTTCATGATTATCAAATGATGATTGGTTACGTGAAAGAAACTATGACACGATAGATTTATGTGAAGATTACATACTATTAACCTTATCGTTTGACCTTTTGACCTTTCTTCGTACCCTGATATTTTTGTCATTGTTCATCTAACTTCCTCCAGCGTTGATTCATTTTCCCTTGGCAAACTTGTTTCGGGTAAATGAATCTTTCTCCCCTCCCAAAATTGTAAAGAATCTGCAAAGTTACACTACATAGATTTTGTGATCGAGAAAAAACTATCAAATGCTTTTATGCACGGTCTTGTGGCTTTTTGATATATATAAAAAAAAAGGAAAGAAAAAATTTTTTTTTTTTTAAAATTAAATTTAATAAGTATCTTGTTATCATTAAAAATTTAATTTAATTTTTAATTACTTAATATATATCTATGACTCGTTTATCCATTTATGTATAAATCTGTGGTACGGTTCTTTATCGTGAGTAAAAAACATCTGCATACAAAAAAATGATAATAACGCAATATTTATCTCTCGTTAATCCATGCCATAAATGATTCCTTACTTTATGCAATTTCCGGTTGAAAATTGATTTCATGAGCTAGTTTTTTGATCACACGCTTTTTAGCGTCGCATATTCCGTAACTCTTCCCCGCTCTTTTTTTTTTTATTTTAAAGAAATCTTTCAAACATAAAAAAAAAATATTTGTGGATTTTGTTTTACAGAGATAAAAAAAAAATATATATAATTCCATCATTTCATCATCATCATCAAATGATTTTCCATGTCTGAGTATCATTGAACCGATGAGAGTACCTTAAAAGATCATTAGCAATGAGAGATTAAGAACAATGGAATTTATAAATTGGGATTGAATGCATGTTGCGATAATGCAATATCTTTTCCTTAAAAATTATCATATTCCCCAAACCATTTCGCGAATTTCGTTATAGTTTAATTTATTCTTAATTCGTCTTGTTATGACGAACATTACCATAAATGGTAAAATTATGTCACCCAACCTGAATTTTGGCCATGAACCTAGATCAAATCGATGATTTCAGATAACGCGTTTCCGTAATGCCAAAAATGCAACGGTGTACTTGAACAAAACCTCCTTGTACATAAACAAAAATGCAGCCGTTAAAACAGATTGAAGTAATTTTGATGTGATCCCCTTGTAAAGACCCCCATAACCTTCATTTGCAATAATCTTTTGAAGCCCATCCCATGTACTCTTGTAACGTGCACTTTCTTGTGAAGATTGACGCAACTGCATGCGTGATTTAATAACGCTACAATTCATTACCAAAAGGGGGAGGAAAGTAAATATATTGTTTTCTTATCATCATGAATCATAAAATAAAAAAATATATATATTTTTTTTTTATATTGAACTTACATGTAAGGATAAGTAGAACCGGTAGCGACAAGTTTACTAATGGCACCCAATAGGAAAAAGTCCAAATTTCCCAACTTTTTCATTTTTTCTATTCGAGATTTTATTTGTTCAAATACGGTGTATTGGATAATTGGATTAATCACCAAAATGAGGGCAGGGATGATACCTTGCCAGAAGGATTTAAACCCATCTTCGTTGATAATTTTCAAGATCGTCGCGATGGTTCCCAACTTTTTTGGTTTTGTTTTTTCGCTCTCATCTTCATCCAAAGATACTTTGCGTGTCGTCATTCGAGTCTTAAATTAATTCAAGTTTAGCCTTTTTTTCAATAAAATTCATGAGGAGGATAAAATAAAAATAAAATAAAATAAAATATTTGGATTTAATTTAATCATTCACTTAAAACTTACATTCACCACCCAAATTGGATTTGTGACCAAGACTGTAGCTGAACCGGCTATTGTTCCAGCCATTATGGATTCCACGACCGACATTGGACGGTTGCCTTTTTCAAACATTTTCTTTGTAGTCTCATAAAAATAATAGTAAATTCCTAATGAGGAAAACTGAATTAATACATCAAAATTTTTTTTTTTCGCAAAGAGAGTGAATACACATACCATTTGTCACTGCAATCCCGAATATGGCAGAATTTAACCCTCTGTATTAAAAATATCAGAAATGTTGTATAAACGCACGACCTATGGATCAAAATAGTACAAATAAAATTATATTAAAAAGGTCAATCCTTACGAGTATAACCCACTAATGCCTTCATTATTAAAAATCTTGACGACAGCATCCCATCCTCCCTAAGGAATTGAACTTAATAAAAATGATATCTTCAAATGAACTGAATATTATAAATAAAAAATTACTTTATATGCATCGCTTTCTTTTGTGTCTTTTTGCACCTGGAGACGAGAACTAACTGTAATCAATGGATAAGTCAAAATCATAGATATGATACCACCACCGGCACCTAAAGATTCAAGAATATTCAGTCAATAATGGGAAAAAATCTAGGTCGTTTAATTATTACATACCGCTAATAGCATGGGCAACATTGTCCGACATTATTAAAAATGATTTTTCAAATAGAAAAAAAAAAAATTTTTTTTTTTTTTTTCAGTCATCAGAACACAAAAAATCAAGTTGATCAATCACCATCAAATTTTGTTTGTGCCACCGTAAAAAATCTTACCATCGGTGGTTGATAGATTAAAAACTTGTAATGACAAAAAATTCGTTGAAATTATCTGCGAATTGCAAAATTTTCCGATTTTCTTGACACATACTTGAAATACGAAAAGTCTTATGCAGATTATACCGGATGTTGAAAAGGAGCTATGGTAATATTGGTGGATCATCGCAAATCTTTTGAACACGGGGAAAAGTTAATTCCACGTGATCATGTTAAAGTCATCGTCTACGACGCGAGCGGGCAAAGTTTTTTTTTTTTTTAGACGCGATATCTAAAAGAAAAGAATTGACCTTATTTTATCAATTTTTTTTTCATTTTCAAGACTCAAAACGTTTACTGGTGATAGTATAGACGCGTATCTGCAACCTAGTCTTTCCTTTGGATGCCAGATATAACGATACACAACAGCGTATTCAAACCATGAAACCCTCAAAGTAGAGATACGTTTGCCAAAGTCAACAAATTTGACATGCATGTAAGATACAAATATTTAATCATCACAAACAATACCCATTTCCCCGGTAAAATCTCATTATTACCCTCTTGAAAACTTTTAACACTAATTTTATTTTCTCGCATTAATTTCACCCTTAGGACTGGGCAGAATTATGATGGTAACACAATGACTGCGGTGAATGTATAAATAATTCCAATATGGTTGGTATCAGATGTGGTGCTTCTGCAAGGGACAAAAGGGACAATGGTTCATGAAAAATAGCAAAACCCATTAAGAATCATCTTTGCCGAACATCTAAATTTAACTTAAAAACTTCTTTGGAAGAATTGTTCAATTTACAGAATCGATCTTAAAGAAGACATTGTTATCTTTAGGGAACCAAAAGAAAAAAAAACAATGATTTCATACATTTAAATCAATACCAAATAAGTTTCGTAATTACACTTCTTTTTATCATTTTTTTTCGTTATCAAATCACCGCATTAGAGATTGTAACAATACTTTGTAGCACCCTTAAGAACAAAAACAACCATTGTTTAAAAAAAGTCACCAAGCTTGTGAAAAGAATTGGGTTTCACCTTTGTTTGAATACGGCTGAAAAAAGTAAACTTATTGCTTTATATGCTTATATACAAATCTTTCGATTGTTAAAGGCAAATTTTGTTACCTCACCTCCAAAAGTCGAGTAGAAGTTGTCCAATTTGCTTGCTCATGTGAACTGTGCCTGATCGGCACATGATACTGCGGTTCATTCGTCAACGTATTGAAAGATTATAATTCTCTGATATACTCTCACACCTTACCTTTTTTTTTTATTTTTTGTTAAAAATAATTTTCACCTTAACAATACTTTGTAATGAATAGCGATCGATTATCCACTTCCACATCACTTCAGTCCTCAGGTTCTACTTTTATCTGTACTCGCTGGTACTGTTCTTAAACATAAGGTTTTCTAACTTTTTTTTCCCTCAACTTTTGTGCTGTAAATACTCGTTTAGTAGGTGCCACTTCTGCTGAAGAATTGGCTGAAAAGTATCAAAAGTTATTCTTAGAATTCTCTCGGTAAGTGTTAATCTTGAAGTTTCCTCTTAAACGAAATTTCTTTTCATTGCATCTAACTTACCGTTTAATTAGAATAAAAGCACAGCATTCGGTCCTTAAGAAGGCCGTTATAAAGGTTTGATAAGATGCAAGAATTAAGATCATGTTAGTGAGAAATTTCCCTAATTCGTGGATTTTATACAGGAACAATCGGAAAAGAATACGTTACAAGATGAATGTAAAACCAAAGAACAGAAATTGCGATCAGTGCGTTATTACGATTAATTATTGTTAATTATTTGTTAATCATGGCAAATCGTGTAAGACTTTTAATTAATTCTTGTCCTAAAACTATAATGTAGTCAATTCAACAACTTGATCTTTTAACTTTTCACAACCAACGTTTGACCAAACGTATTGAAAGTTTACAGGATTCAGGAAATTCGGTAAGAAAATTAATATTTTTAATTGTCCTAATTTATTTTATTTTATCAAACGTTGATCATTCCTTTTTTTTTTTATTCATCAACTAGAGGATGTCTCCTTGGTTGTTGGGTTCAGCGAAGAAAGAACTTGAAAAATCAAAGATTACCCTTGAAACTACCTCAAAAGAGTTATCTCGAAAGATTGAAGAAAATGGTACAATTTTAAAGATGTATTTGTGCAACTACCCATGCTTTGATTATCAAGGAGAATATTTAAATTGACTTTATTTCATGATACAGAAAAGTTACATAAAGAACTTTTTGAAGTGAACAGTTTGTACACTCAGCACGTTAACGTTCTTCAAACGAAAATATCTGATTTTGAGAGTAAGACCGAAGAACTTCAGGTAGATTTAATGAATTCATTCGGAATATTATGATGAAAATAGTTTTGTTTAAAATGATCAAAAAAAATTTTATTTCATCAAATTTAGATGGATTTGACAACATCACACCAAGCAAGTGAAGAGGCTCTAAGTATAATTCGTCAAGAAAAAAGAGATGTTGAGATTGAATTAGATCAGACAAGGGCAGAACTACGAATGTACGTGTATCATAATTTTCCTAAATCTGTGTTCGTGCGTTGTGTAACGGTCGACTTTTTCAATTATAGAACGAAGGCTCTTATGGAAAAAAATGAACAAAAATTGAAAGAGGGTGATGATGCATTGCGTTTTGAGTTAATTGCACTCAGACAAACTCTTTCAATTAATCTTGGCTTAGCAGATGAGACTCAATCTGAACAATTCAATGTTAGTAATGTTGGCGTCAAATGAGTGATATTCTGTAAAGTATTTAATTCGTTTATTCTGTTTACGATCATATTAGGCTTTAAGTGAAAATTTTGATTCTGAATCTAACGAGATAATTGCAAGCTTTAAGCAATTACAATCCAGTACTAGAGAATATTTGAATGCTCTTAAAGATGATGTAAGAGTTATTTTGATTGGGAAAAAAAATTTTTTATTTTATTCTAATTTTTTTTTTTCCTCAAAACTTTTTTAGTCAGACTCATCCTATGAGTTAGGTGTGAAAGTAAAAAATGCGAGTCTAACATGGCAAAAAAATTTGCATAAATTTGCGATTAAATTAGCTTCTGCTCAAAGTATGTATAATATTTAGTTCATTCATGCATAAATACAATAATAATAACAGTTATTACGGAATCGTTGCTTATTTTAAATGTTCAGATCGAATAACTGAGTTGACATCGGAAAATGAATTACTCATCAAAACTAATGAAAACGACTCAAATAAAGTCGCAGCATTAGAAAAAGAAATTTCCACTCTAAAGGAAGAATTGGAAAAGGTATATATTTTCTGGTGATCTGAATATATATCTCAATAATTATATGACAAATTAAATACATATACATCTATTCTTTTAGTTAACTTCCGATGGTGTTACATCGGAAATAGGCCAATTACAAAATACTTGTTCACAGAATTTAGATAATGAGCAAGTTCATCAGTCGTTCTCAGAAAAAGATAGTACCAAACCGGATGATGGCATTGGTAATCCTAAATTATATTTAAATGAGTTCGATGGTACGTTATTTCAAATGAAGTCATCAAAAAAAAAAAAAAAATACTGAGATTAGCATTGACGTTTTGTACAATGAATTTAGAAACTAAGTCGAAGCCAACGTCACAAAACGATTCATTCCAGATGGGATCAAACGTAAAGGGAGACGGAACTCCTGAATTAATATTTGGAGATCAAGATGACAGTGAAGAAGAAGGAGAGGTAGCTCTTCTACAGAAGTTGATACTTTGAATTGCATTATGTTTGGTATTTAAATTAATATCTTTTTTCGTCTTTAGTCAGATGTATTTGTTTATCTACCTGAGAAAGAAAGTGGTGGAACACCTGTTAGTGAAGAATCAACACTACAATTAGCAACATCAAATGGATTGTGTGCGCATTGTGGTAAATCTATCCAGGATGATGATAATGAAACCAGCAATGGAACAGCACGTTTCCTCGCTTTAGGACGCGATGACATGAGCGTGAGTAATTATATTATGTTAATTTGTTTTATAATTTTATAGTATTGAACTTTTTATTTGATTAATTTTTATTTTTAGCGGAAAACTGAAGATGATGCTAAGCAACGCGAAGAACTAATCAAGAATAATTATCAATGTCAAATAAAACAATTAAACGAGCAGGTTGGTGATAAATCGTTAAATTTTTTTAAAAAAAAAATGTTCAAGTATTTTTATAAATATATTACCCTCTATAATTTATAGGTTCAGATGGCAGATAGCAAATCTGTTCGATTATATAAAGGTTTAAAGATTATGCAAGCTAAGTTGGCAGATGCTGAAAGTGATAAGTTGCGAGCTGAACAAGAAATTTATAAATTACAAAACGAATTAGATAAAATGAAGGTAAATAATTATAAAAAAAGTTTTTTTAAAAAAAAATATTTGCTGATAGTGTTATTATTTTATATTAGGAAAATTTGGCAGAAGAAAAAAATGGCCATAAAACATCAGTAGATACAATGACGGATTGGATTTCAAAATTATCCGCTAAAAATGAAGAACTTGAAAGAGAAATTGAAAGACAATATACGGAAGGTAGCTCTTCAAGAAGTGATTAAAAAACAAACGATTTTTTTGTGTATATTAACTCTTCTCACAAAAAATTATTTTGTAATTATAAAACATTAAAATATGTTATAGAGACATTGTATAATAGCAAATAAAGAGTAGAGAGATATAATTACTTAATTTTCTATAAATGAATTTTTAAACATAATAGGATATTTATTTAAGGTAATAATTGTATATGAAAAAAAAAAAAATGTTAATTAATATATATTTTTATTTATAAAAAAAAAAAAAGATCTCAATAATACTCTTAATTATTTAATAAAATAAA